CTAATTGTTTTAGTATACACTCTGTACCTAGATATATTAATTTCGAGAAAATAATCGATACACCGCAATTACACCGTAAAATAATTCAATTTTATACGGTCGCGCGAGCGAAATTTTCCCAAGCGTGCACCATCACGAATAGACAATGGTTGAGTAGCCAATCAGAATGTAGGATTTGTATAATAGACAATAGTCCTTTATAGTCGGGTGTATACTAAATTTCAATATAAACTTTCACATGCACGGGTTGTTTGGAGTTTGCTTTCAGGTAGCTCAGGGAGTTTTCCTTTTTATATTTCTTGAATTAACCTATTGGGTAGTAGACCCAAATAATTATTATTTATTAATGTGTAAAATTAGTACCGCAGAGTAATTCTTCATCAACTGTTTGTTTTGCAATAGATCTCTCAAAGTATACTGAACATTCTCTGTGCCAGCAAGCACAGAATTGATATAGTTGTACGTTTGGCCATCGGGAATGTGACTCTTCTTTAAGAATCCTCCACAACTGTACTGATAAAAATCATCACATGGCTTCGTGGATTGATCAAGTTTGTTTAATATGTCTGAAAAAATTAAAATTAAGAATGACAAATCCATCTTTGCTAGAACAAATGTTAGAAACTGTGAGACAGCGCGAGAACTGGGATTGACATTATAGTTGATTATGTTAATTTATGGCATAAATAAGTGCATGTGCTTTTTGAACACGGAGCAAGCGAGTTCATGAAAGAGAACCTCGTGTATATTATTATATTTTAAAAATTTTTAACAAAGCGAAGTGATCAGTTGTAAATTATTCAGTGTCTCTGGGACCATTCACCACACAAACACAGTTTTAATATATGGATAAGCGTATTTTACTGAGAACTCGTATAACTCATACGCCACTACATCCGGGGTGCAGTGCGCGTATTTCATACGCTACTCATACGCCACTACATCCGGGGTACAGTGCGCCCAATCTCACGCCAATCTCAATTCCACGTTTAGGAGTGACATAACGAGTTCATTGTTGTTGTTGTGAAAATGCAAATGGTCTTTGTTTCCTATATAAAACGATCGGTAATATTGGACAAAAGTCTGATAGGACTGCGCTTTGACATAATTAGTGTTAGCATTGAAAATCATGCCAGAAAAGACCGCAATAAAGTGCAAGAAAAATGTTACGATTTTTTCATGCTAATAATTGGACCAGGAACTGGTCCCTAACCGCTGCTAATCTTGTTGTTGTTGTTGTTGTTGTTGTTGTTGTTGTTGTTGTTGTTGTTAGGGGGCGACGCTCTTGAAAAAAACCCTAAGGCTCTAGCATTACTTGTTTGATCGGAATGAAACTTGGCACAGTTATTCTAAGCAATATTCCGCATCGATTGACGGAGTTCAAATTTTTACTTTTGACCTTTGAAGCAAGTTACAAGCAATTCTTGATATATTTGCAGCAAATAATATATACATATCATTAATATTCAGCCTATATATAAGTAAACGGAAACGATTAGAAATACATTGTCCTCTCCATTGTTATAAATACAATGCAGTTCAGAAATCTAACTCGGTTACGCAGTTCCTGGTCCACTATAGTACGATCGTACTTGTTGAATTAAATACTGTCATTTTGCTTGTGCAACTAGGGTTAAGTTATAATTGTACAGCATTGTATAAATTAATAGATAATTATAGAAAATCAACCACTTCTTATAGTTGAAATCTCTTTTTACTGTGGCGAATATACTTCAAATCAAGAAATCGTTACGTTAAATATTTTGTTTCAGTTTCAATTAAACGAAAGTTCTCTTTCACCACTTCCTATATTTTACCAATCATAACTTGTAGCGCTAAAAATTTTTGGAGTGGTTTAGTAACATTATCTGATTCAATGAAATGCAGGTTTTATAATTAACAGTTTCAGTTTCAATGACAAGCAAGAGTGTAATTTTAAATCGTGGATGCCTCAAGTGCATGACTATAGTGCACAAATTTTCATCTGAATGCACAGGGGCGTCGCTAGCAGCTAAATTGGGGCGTGGGTGTATATTCATGTTCGTGCAACCGTAGAAACCATAGCTAACAAAAGAAATCAGTAAGGCATTAGACGAATATATGAAATATGCACTCCCCCCCCCGCCCCCTTAGTTATCTCATGTTAAATGTGGTTAATTTTCATGCAACTAAACTGTTTTAAGCTGTGTTATGTATATTTGCAGTTTGAGATTCACAGTTCAACAGTTTCTATCCACATAAACTGCTACACCTGGAGCTTTGGAAACTCGAACAGTTTTCAAAACCTCTCTTTTTATAGCTTCTAACGCCCTCTAATAAGACTAGAATTCGCTAGCATTTCAATTTGTCGCCATCTCGTCACGCGTGGGAGAATCCACGCGGGGAGCACGCACACTTGGTATTCGACTTTGTTGCGGAAGCCAGCGAGAGGCGAGGAAGACTAAATTTGTGCCGTGAGATAAGGTTTCTCATATTTTCTGACCGCCAGGAGTTGTTTTGTTTGTGGTAGATGAAGAGTAAAGTTTAAATTTAGTCAAAATTTATACAACATGCAGTTATTCATACGTGGAATCGACGCTTCACCTGCAGGACTCTTTCTCTTGAGAGGTAATGTTTTGTTGTTTTTTTTGATATTTATATCATATTTGCTTTCGCTTTTGTACGCATACCCTGCTAAACCACTAAATTACTAAATTGAATGAGTTTAATAACCGTATTCTGAGCGCATTCCTGCACTATACTATGCACGAACAGCCAGGCCATACTGCCCATAGCGATAAACGTATTATAATTCTGACTGCGAAGGTCGAAGCGAACTGAGTTCTGTATTACATAAAATCTGTTTTAATACTCCTACACGTATATCGGTAACCAGGACTACTGGCTTATATTGTGTTTATTTTTGCGCTGAAATTTGTTCAACGCAGTTTGTTGGAGCATTTTAGTGCATTAATTACATACTTTTCCCAGACGGGCATCAAGTTTGAAATATAATATCTCAGCTTGTCATTGTGTGATAGTTGATTTCAGGAGCAGTTTCACTTTGTGATTAGGACCAAAAAGATCGCGTTACATGAAGTTATACAGGCATAACAGCATTGATAGAAAGAACAATCCGGCCGCCCGGAGATTTAATACCATTTGATGCGGTTCATAATTGTACCAGTTTACTGAATTGTACTAATTTGCTTCTTATTCAAATATATACTGATATACTTTTTTGCATTCGATTAGAACACTACTTAAATAGCAGAAGTTCCGCCTTAAAGATATCGTCTTTGCGCATCGCTTCTGTTGCTAACAACGCGGGGGGGGGCGCAAATTTAAAAATTGGTTAAATTTCACCTTTCGGATTGTTTCGACGCATGTAGACTCTAGCTCGTATTTATTTGAAACCTCGTATTTATTTGAAACCAAAGCTAGTGAACCAATGCATGAGTGAGATAAGCGAACAGTTCGTCGTATTGCAAAAATATAGCAGTTCAAAAGTACACATGCAATGCGTTTGTTTACATCACGACTTGTCGTCAGCTAAAACATTCCACTCACTCCCAAGGACGTGCAGACTGAATGCCCTTGCCTTAGTACTTAGGGAACCAGAAAATTGGAATCTATTTCACCCGACGATTGTGGAGCTGTAGAGCACACCAATTGTCGATGCATACTCAGTGTGGCCGGTTAAAAATGCGCATGCTCGGATTAGCAGTATCTATTCCCCAAGGGTAATGAGTTTACCATGAATGTCACATGTATTTCAATGAAAGCGGAGTGCTCTATAGACATGAGTCATAACCTGGTTCGCATATGTCACCGACTGACTGCGATGGTTGTTGTCAGTTATCACTGACAGATGAAATGCTTTGTTATTTTGAATACACCCCCTTCGTTACTAGACCACCAGCAATACAGGAGATTCAGGCTTTATTGTATATTTTAAAAATGCGCACATATAAATAGCAAAAGCGGTAATCTCTCATTATTATATACACAAGCGCTGAATATAAGCTAATTTGTAATCTGAATGGTTCTCTACTAGAGATACATAGACATGGCTGAAAGATTTGGGGATTCAAACGACGATATTGAAATTCAAGTTATGACTTGAAAAATGTACATCAAAGTGCACCGAATGCGCGACAAATTTTGGAATAAAAGTATTTTACGCTGGATTAAAAACTATAGGTTTACAAAATATACGGTTTTCTTTCTGCTTTCTGGGTTAAAACGTTCGAAAGAAATATGGCATTTAATTATTAAACATTTAAAAAAGTGTATTTAGTTTATTCAAATTAGTTGCGCACAAATTTGAAAGTTGTTTTATTCAACGCTTGTGTATATAAAAGAGTTTACAGCTAATGCACTCTCTTCGTATATAAAGCCCGTTTTCACATGGTAACTAGGCCAATCACATCACTGGATCACAGAATACCTATCAAAGGTAGAACTCCTGTACTTTTTTCGTAAGTGTGATTCGTCATGATTCGTCACTTAGCAAGTGCATTTTTTTGAGGTAGTCACCCCCCTGCCAATACTAAAAATGTCCTGATTTTAGACATTGACAGGGGGTGACTACCTCAAAAAAATGCACTTGCTAAGTGACGATTCATGACGAATCACACTTACGAAAAAATAGTATAGAGTTATTCTTCTGATAGGTATTCTGTTTTCTGTGACTGGATTAAGATTTCGCGAGAAGAAGACTGGAAACTATTGACTGGGAATATCGGGTTTTTTAAGAAATATCGGGAATTCTGGATAAATTGACTTTGCCTTTGCGAGTTTCCACATATCGAGCAATATTTTACAAGGGTTAGCGCTTCGACAGATTGACTCTGCTATTTATACGTAAAATAAACGAGTAAATAAGCGATAAGCATTAAACCACACATACACTTTGACATATAACAGCTATTTGTATCACGTATTTTGTAAATAATTAATGTACATAAAACGCATGACTGCACGCATGTATAATGCTAATTAAATAGACTAAACCATGATTCTATGAACAGTGTTCCAAAAGGTTCAGAACTGTAAATAGAGCAGGCGTTTTGAGATTATGTAATATGAATCAAGATATCTGATTTCAAAAGTGAAAAGAGATAAAGTGAAAAAATAATGATGTAATGATGTAAGTTTTGAATGACTAATGTATGCACATTTTGAATACAAGTAAAAGCATGGCCATTGGTTTGCATTGCTTCTTCATGATGATTAACTTCCCTTCAGGTTCAGAAAAGTTGAAACACAGGAATTCCTAACAATTCCTAACTTAGTGATTCTGTCAGTGAGTCCATCTTATGACAGTATGAGTGAAAATGATTGCAATGCAAGCATAGTAAAATATAATTATTCCCAATATAAACCATTTGATTGTATACTTTACCACCTTGAGTTGAATATATATGCATAAAAACACACAAGTTGTAAACAAGTTGTTACAAGTCAGTTCTCAAGCTCTCAAGATATGTTCCAAAAATCAGGAAGCAGCATGGCAGCATCTTCAAACAACTTAGCATCAGATGTGGTATAACAACTGCCTAAAATAGACAAAACATTTCTCAATGTTTTGACCTGAGGGCCTTCATCAGGAGAGCTAGTATAAGAGTTAGCTTACTAACTCTCCTGACGAAGGCCCTCAGGTCAAACGCCAGGAAGTGTTTTGTCTATTTTAGGTAGTTGTTATACCACATTTGATGCTAAGTTTCTCAAAAAGATATGTTCACGCTGCATGTTTAAAGTTGTAACACGTTTGCGGAAGCTAACAACTTGTCTGGAGTGGCATTATTAGACTTGTAATTAGATCTGTCTGATACGTGACATAGCAACATTGCTACAAGCTTGGTAACACAAGATTGCATGTAACAACATTAGTAACAAGTTTGTACCAGACTTGTTCGAACAGCCTTGAAACAATTTGATTGCAACAAGTTTGTTACAAGTTACAACTTGTTAACAGGTTCTCTAATGCTTGTCAACAACTTGTGCCAAGCAAAACTTTTTTGAACACAGTTTTACTGGTGCATGTATATCGATCAGTATATGAAATATAGTAGCATTGGCAATTGTTAAAGGTTAATGTGGTTCTTTGAACAAGCTCTGTATGAATGCAATTATTTTATCATATATAATTTTTTTACCAATCAAATTTTTTTACCAGTCAACACTAAAATACCCAAATTTAATGAATCCTGGGTCAAAAATTACCTTCCTAACCTCTGTCAATTGACTATTATTTAGTTTGAGTCTGGACTATTCTCTGGAGAATCCAGAAGTGAATAAAATTGACCCTATAAACTGTAGACAGGCAAATTTATTAGTTAAAAACATTAAAATTATAAATGCAGATATGCATTACTTCAATGCAGATATGACAGATGTGGCATCATATGCTATAAGGCCTCAGACCTCTATATAGGGGTTGGGTTTCACTCACTATAGTGCATATGAGATAGAGCATATTTGTTGCAAAGCACAAAACAACATATACATTGATCTATTAAATCATGGAGTATTTTCATCATGTATTAGCATGATTAGTATTCATTACAATAAATTGTGAATTCAGGCATCCAAAGGCAAAGGCATCTTGCTAACCAGTCTGCATACATATTTGTAGTTATATATACTGCAATTATTCAAATAAATTCAACTTCAAATTATTCAACTAGGCAATGCATGATCCTTTATTTACATCTTAGATAATACAGTACATATATTCATGATCTATTCTGTCAGAGATATAGCATTCCATACCAAATGGCATTCCATACCAAATTTTTATATAACTGAAAGTCTGAATGTCAGCCAAAATTTACCATTTATAGAGATTTCAGTCCAATAATACCTATCTCATTCCTGGCAAATTGAAATGGGATAGAGACTAGCTTGTGTGATTAAATGTAAGCCATAGGATTAGTAGGTATACATATTAAACATAAGTCTGCAATTTTCTTTATTAAAGGCGTAATTTTCACTTCGATTTCCACAAGTAGAGCATTCAATTATTCTGATGGAAGGATTTTAACACTGGCCAATTGCAAATTATAATTTTTTCCACAACGTGTTGGATATATGCATTGGACGATAAATAGATAAGCTATTTTATTCGGGCACAGATACATGTAGCTTCAATTAAGATTTCAGTATATATAATTTGCAGCGTATTTTCAATATATTACTGTTCCGAAATATCAGCTTGTTACATAGATGTTTATATCCCTTTGAGGGTATATTCTAATTTACCATTCTCACCAAAAGTGGGTCTCGCCGTTAACAAAAATTTATACTATGTTCAAAATGTACAAAATCTTACCTGCAGCACTCGTGACACAAGAAGGGGTACGACAGGTCTTCGTTGAAGGAGCTGTCCCTGTTGTAGAACGTGTTGGCGAACTGGTTGTGGCATTTGCTGGACGCGCAGTTGTACTCGGTGTTACTGTACCGTTCGGCTGCTTGTGCTTGGACGAACTGCCATCGCTGGTCGACTTATTTTTCTCCACAGCATACAACGCAATAAACACGACAGACAAGACGAGTAGCACCAGAAACAACGTGGCCAAAAGCAAGCGCGCTTTCGAAGGTTTCCGCGTTTCGGGCTCTTCAAGCAAACCAAAAGAAATTGACGATGGCATATTTACTTATAAGCTAGACAGGAGCCTGAGAAATCTAAAATGATGCGATTAGAATGAAGCAAGTTGGAATTATGCCTAAGCACATGGAATTATGCCTTGACACTACAGCACACCTGAGGCTGTCAACGACTCTGCGCGCAGAATTTCCTTACAAGTTCTTTTGCATTCCTCAGTTTTCCCTAAAATGATAAACAGGAAGACCGAATTTGGGAAGTAAAAAGGTCGACGAAATATTCTGCGTAGGCGACTCTCTGAGCGGGAATTTAGTCAAAGCGAAAACAATTATATTCCCTCTCAAATTCCTCAGTCTTTGCTACAATGATAAGCTGCAACAACGGTTAATGGAGTGTCCCATCCAGCGACTGACCGAATTTAAAGGAGTCAAAAGGTTGACTAAATATTCTGCGTGGACGATACGCTGCCTTTTTCACTAGATCAGAACTAAAGAAGTGTAGACAGTCTGAGTGGGCATTTCCTCAACGCCAAATATAGGGGAAGTAAAATAGGGAAGCAAAAAGGGGAAATATTGCAGATGTGCGGTTCTTCTTAGAATATATCGCGTCTTTGACGTCATATCACTACGAGAACACATCCGCCGCTGATTCAGAGCAAGATATCATATTGGTAGAAGATATTGTTGATTGCTAAGCGAGCGAGCGAGCCTAAACATTTGGCCACGTGAGTTGATCGTTTTGCTACGGTTGTACCATTGCATGTGTCTGCAGTTCGGCTTCGGCAGGCTATTGTGTGTTTGTTTTTAAATCTGGGGAAGATTTTGGAAATTAAAACATTTTTCCTTCAGCTGCCCAACCCCTGCTATAAATACTGACGGTCGCTCAAAGTACAAACATTATTAAACGCTTGCACAAATAATCGGGTAAATCCGTATACGAAAAGTAAATGTAACAAGTATAAATGTGCAAATTCTACTTTATTTTATATTAGGACAGACACGTCTAAAAGCAATTCAAGCTTTGAACTATTTCTCGTCCATCAAATAACCGTGGAAATGTCCTGGGTCTAAACCTGCGTCTTTATGTAGTCGAGACCTCCATGTGCCCAGCCCGTTCTAACAGACTGCTGAATGATCTTCGACGAAGTCAAATTTAAAGTGGAAGTCAAGTCCGTTCTGCGCATGGGTTTTGCTCACAACAATGTGAGGTCCTCACTCCTCAGATAAATGTTTTGTCCAAATTTTACATGTTTTACATGAATTTTTCGCATCAAAAACACTGCTATATATTCATTTCAAGGCATATAGCGAACCTAAATGTCGTTAAATATTCAGACAGCACATGATGCACATCGTATTTTAAAAAGTACGAAAGTTCAAAATATGAACCCGTTTGTTTACTTACGGGCTTGACTTCCACTTTAAAGAATCATTATCCGAATCAGTCATGTCTCGTCGCTTAATGTTAACTGTGGTTTTTCTAAACAATCTTCAATTTCTAGACTATGGCTCACAAGAAGATGGCAAAAACATACTACCAAACGGCGCAAGTGTTCTTCGGTGTTGGGCATCTGAATGCTTTACTGAATTCAGGAAAGTTGTGGAGTGGAACACGTACTCTGAAAAAGATAATACATAAATTATCAGACGCTTTTACCACAACAACATGTGGTTAGAATTCTTTTGCTTTCAGTTGAGGCAATACTCTAAGATAGCCCAGTTCATACACGTATAATTATAAAAGGCCCTTTACACTACGCGATTTGTCGTATACGATTCGTACCCTGGCGTATGTGAACCTATGATCACCAGATCAGTGATGAACACACGTACAACGAGAGGTACGCATAGCGTACATGTGGGTACCCTCGAAAACATCAGCAGCGATTACAGTAAAGCAAAGCACTGCAATTTATATAGTCTATTTCATATTATATAGACAATTATCGAGTTAATTTAAATATTGCTGAAGATTTTTATTTGTCAGTATATTCGTCAGTAATGTACCTGCAAGTCAGCAAGAAGTCAGCAGTGTTATTTTGTTTGAATACAGCAGCAGTTGCGGCTGTTAATTATTTTATATACCCGCACAATGGCTGGGTTCAAATTTCAATACCCACACAGTGGCTGGGTTCACTTTCAATACCCGCACAATGGCTGGGTTCAATTTCAATACCTGCACAATGGCTAGGTTCAATTTTGGTACGTGGCCTTTCATGTAAATAGTACCCTGGTCTATGATGACGACCAGTGCGAGCAACAATGGCTTCGGTTTTTTTGAATTTTTCGATACGTCATACGCGCACTCTGACATGTGGAGCGCCTGACAAGATGATGTCAGTGCAGGCAAAATTGCCCCGTATACAACGAAATGTACGCTTGTAAAATCTGATTGTAGTCGAAATTGCTCGACCACAGTAGATAAATAAGCGATTAAAATAAAAAAAACCCACAAAAAGCAATACAGCTTAACTTAACTTTGTAAAAATCTGAAACAACGCAGTCCACGCCTCCACGAAATCACAGTGGAAACTCGAAATCTTTAATCTTGGCAAAATAACAACTTACGATATTTTCCGAACTATTTACGATATTTTCCGGAAGTCATAACGAACGATATTATCGTCGTTTATAATATGAATGAAGATTGTGGCATAGGCCCTCTTTTCCATCCGTCAGGGGCCGGTTGTATCAAGCCCGTTTAGCGTAAACGGTGGATAAGTCGAAATTAAATAACACTCTTACATCTCTCTTGAATGAATCAACTTGAATATTATGCACTGAATATGTAGTTGTAAACCGTATTTTTGTATTAAGGTTAAAAACATTTAGTTTGCTTGTTGTATAAAACGATAGACTTGCTTTCTATTTTAAACTTATACACCGTTTAAGCTAAACGGGCTTGATACAACCGGCCCGAGAATGATAATTGCATACAACTTATCGTGTAGTCTAAACAGGCCTTTAAAGAGAAATAATATTACCCACGCCTCCTTATACCTGATTGGTTCCAGTGAATGTCCATCGTTAGCCATCAACTTCCTGGCGTATTCTTTTTCATACTTTGCACACCATAACTGCATGTAAGAGAACAATTCTATTTCTTATTTTTCAGTTTTGTCTTACAGCAAAACGAACATTCTCTCACGTCTCCATCGAACTTTGAATGTTTTAAATGCGTGATAGAATCTAATGGCCTTCCAGCCACTGCTTCAAGTAAGCAATGTAGAATATCTTCCCATATTTGTTTCGCAATATAACACTATTGCACCGAAGATCAAGGTCTGGCAGGACAGTATTTTTCACAAGAAACTGTCACGCATGCATTGAAAGTAAATCGTAAGCCGCTAAGCGCTTCAAACATTTTACGATTATATCATGGCAATAATAAACTAATAATTAATGATGTTGCATGCTTGTACAATTTGAGACTGATGACCAGTCGATGTTAATTGGCCTCAAATAAACAAGAACCTGTAACCATTGCTATATACGTAGGAATCGAAACAGATAAGTATGCCAAACAAAGGGGGGGGGTTCAAAAAGCATCCTGAAGGCAGGACGACGAGTACTGGATACAAATAGTAGCTCATAATGCACTCTATGTTCGTACTCGTACCTGGGCAAAGCTAACGAAGAAAAGTTGGTTATTATCGAAAGGAAGAGATGGTAGCTTTTCTTCATCGCCATGTGTTTCCCGCCATTTTTGATACGCCTTTAAAAGAAATAGATATGTTCCCAAATCTTTTTGCCGGACTACAACGCATAATATTTTGTCACAATTTTCAAGATTTAAGGTGAAAAGAGACGAGCTAGTTGTTTTTTATTATTTTATTAGCTATTGGGTATTATATTTATTAGCTATTTAACCTGACGTGTTAAATCACAACGATAACAAGCAATACGTACTCTGAAAGCATATTTCAATCCTCCGTTATCAGCAATGTTTTCTGATAGTGTCTTTTTTCCATCAACCTAAAATATAGTGTAAGGTGATGTTCATTAAGACCAATATATAATTTATACGTAAAATCAAAGGAAATGACTGTGTACTGTGTACATGCATGTTACTTGTTGTAATTGACCGTAACGAAAAAGATGGCGGGATGTACATTTTACCAGAATCCAATGCGGGCATTAAGAATGATTGACTGAAAAAAAATTGCAAGAAAAACTCCTAATGACGTGAAATTTTAACAAAACGAAGAAAATAACTTTCTGTTTCATGCCTGTCCTTTAAAAGACGTCAGTTCGCTTTTTTAAATGATTTCCGACCGCAATGCATTCTGGTAAAATGCACATCCGCCATCTTTTTTGTTATGGTCAATTGGCAAGTTTTTAGCCGCTGGCATGTTAAGACTGAAATATATATGTTATAAAGAAAGCAAGAGCAAATATTTCCTTCCAAGGATACCCTACTTAAATCTTACTGGTCGTAATCCCACAATTTTTACTGAATGTTTAGTAATTCTTGTTGTTTTCATTTGCAGCCTTATTGGGTACACATTTTCTCCACCTAATATAATCGTTATATACAATGTAAACTTTGAATTTGGTTTTGTTAAGTTTGTTTTTCATCAGAAATATATTTCGTGCTTATAAAGGCGAATGTATAAGTGTATTCGAACAAAGAGACATCCAAACGGCCATGTTGAACGGACTTAGAGATAAACGTAGCACTGGAAGAGCAGAAATATAGATGACGTCATTTCTGGTAGATGACGTCACTCCCGACCAGTTTCCGTGACCAAAACCACGTTTGCATACAAACCTTTTGACCAAATATTGTAATATTGTTGTACTGGTCAATTAAGCATTGGGATCGCTTCACGAAGTTTTCATGCGATGCTTTTGTCCACCATTGGCGGTAGTTTCCATTCTCGTCGAATTGACTACCTGTTTGTTATATTAATGAATATTTTAAACAACGAACAATGAACGAAGCTAAAAATTAATAAGTACAGAGTTATTCACTGTATTAGGCCCAGTTCATACGTCGCATTTTGGTCGCGTCGAATGCAATTCAAACAATAGATAATGAGATGGTAAACTTCATTCAGCCTCATTACCATCTCATTATCTATTGTTTGAATTGCATTCGACGCGACCAAAATGCGACGTATGAACTAGGCCTTACTATTTTCTTTGTATTACTTTTAAGTAATAATAAGTCTTAAAGGGCTAAAATAACGTTAAAAACCGCACTAGACAGAATTTTTAAAAAAATTTTACAAAAAAAATTGGAGGGTCACCGAACTTGATTTAACACTATTTGGCGGTCATTTTGAAACCTCCCTGTTGCTATAGCAACGGCTGCCAAGCACATGTTCTCGACAGATTTCGGCTCTAGGTATTTTGCCAGAATAGTATATAAAATTTTAGTCTTCTAGTCAAACATTTAGATGCTGAATATCCCTGTTTAAAATGTACATTTAAAAAATTCGATAAATTGTAGGGAGCCACCTTAAGATGATTTTGAATACCTGTCTTATCAAAGCCGTGAGTAATCTCGTGACCAACGACCATTCCCAGAGAGCCATAATTCAATGCTCTAAAATTTACAACAGCAGCATCATTACAAACTGGTCATAAATTGCATTGCATCAACGCAAACACGATAAGACAAAAGTATTCCTTACTTCAACCTGCCACCTTTGTAGAAAGGAGCTTGTAATATTCCGGCTAGAATAGCTGCAAGAGGAGCAAGGTAATTTCATACATACAGGGCATGATTTGCGAGTACGAACAATTTGATTACAATTTATTCGCCAGCTGTGAAAGGTCATGAAACGCAGGGGTGAGCGTAGACTTGTTCCAAGTCTGCCTCTTGATGGTATAAAATTAGTATACTGGCACCCTAAAAAAAATTAATGGCACCCTAAAAAAATTAGTATAATGGTACCCTAACCTCTCCCCTCTCTCTCTCCTCGCCCGATTTTAGGGTGCCATTATCTCCTCTACTATCCTTACATTACCACTATTATATTGCATGCTAAAAGCCTCTGCGGAGGAGAGTGGTGTCAGTATACTAATTTTATACTATCAAAAGGCAGACTTGGAGCAAGTCTAGAGTGAGCGAAGTGTTATGTACTAGTTTGTTTATAGACATTTTACGAGTAACAAGTTCGTGCATGTTGAAGCAGAAAATGTCCTAAAACGTGTTTCAAAATTATAAAACATAACACATGAATGCATCGCATCTTCTTTGAACGAGGTATAACAACAATATTTGATGCCCAAGCTGTTTATGTAAAATAGATAATATGGGGCAAGTAATTAAGGAGAAGAGAAAAAAATCCAACTAACATTTAGAAAATAGAAAAAAAAGGATAAAGACTTACTCATTCCGTTTGCTCGAGCGTTATAATAAGCATTGATTGTAAGAGGTGGCATGGAAAACCTAGAAACAGAATTTAAATACTTAAAATATTGTTAATTAAAAATTTGAACAGTTGCATGAATAGAAAACTGAGTGAAAATTTTGTGAACTCGAACTTTTGAAACAAGTGTTAAGAGAAGCGTAAGTTGAGCCAATTAATCTTGAGTTAATAAGCCGGCGTGGAGAAAAAACTTGCATGACGACTTCTCTGTCAAAAAAACTTGCTTCTGACAATTTCTCAAATCGTCCAACGCTCGTACTCAGGGAAAATACCTGCCATCATCCGGAGGTTTCCCTAATTCGTTTATTTTCTTTACAGATTGATCTTTTAGGACATTCAGGCTATTTCGCAAAAGATGAGACACATCGACTTGAACCTAGGAACATTAACAAAAATTTCATCAGACTTTCTGTCAAAATTTTAATAAATGCATAATGTATTTCATTTACACCATACATATTGATATTGATATAAGTAAAAACTGACATCTATTCATTTGCAAAATTCATAGTGCTGCAGCATAATTTGAACAGAAGTCGCCAAAGGTGAATCATAAATTTAATCTATATAAAATATCAGGTTTTTCACCCATTAAAGATGTTTAATTACAATAGGAATGGGGATAGTAAGTTTACTTACATTGCTGTAATAACTGTTTAACTTTGTTGTATTTTTGATAAACAATGGAAATCCAATCCAGTCTCTCATTTTTTTCAGCTACATAGTACAGAAACATCTATTAATTTGATTAACCACTGGCATTGATGGTACATTTGTGTGTGAAAACTGAGGTTTTTAATCCTGTGTGAACACTAAAGTGTAAAAGCTCAATCCTGTGTGAAAGCCTTCTTTTAATCCTGTGTAAAAGAAAGCCTTCAGTGTAAAAACTGAAGTTTTAATGCCGTATTAGTATCCAGAACTAATATAATAATAATATACCACGAACGGTGTCAAAACCCTTTCATTTAGCTACTTGCCTTAAGCTGTGCCTGAGCGCGGGTTGCATTGTCCATCCAATTTAGTTCGCTCAAACCAGCAATGAACTGGTCTTTGACCTCATCAAACATTTCTGCAGTCTAAAAAGATACACAGTGTTTAAGCAAGCATATATGTGTATATATGATAATTATATTACTGAATTTTGCGCCGTTAAGCATCGTACTATTACCATACAACTACCCCGCTACAAACTCCACCGAAAATCTTAGTCATATAAAAATTCTTGAGCCTGAGATGCAACATATTCTAGAGCGTGTATAGCCTTCTGAAGTGCTTACGTCACACAGTTTTCTATCTATACAATTTTGTCCCACTTGTTTCCCAGATTGCATTGCGATTCATTGTTCGAGACCGACATGACGTAAGCACCTCAAAGGTCTATTAGCGTGAAATAACATGATGCGACATTTAAATGCATGCGAAGTAAAATGTTAAAATATAACTAACCCTATTCCTCGCGTCTTCTGACAAGTGTCCGTTTACATACAGCAGAGTTGTAACATGTGTGAAAAATCTGTTCGTTAAAGCATTACAAGCCTTCCATCTTGGAGTGAGTTTTATTTTGAGACTCTTGTAATATTTCTCTCGTGCTCCTCGGAAAGCCTTCGGTAGGTTATTTATAGTGCTTTGAATAATGCTCCACGTTATCTCATTGGCAAGCAGACTGAAATAAACAAGACAGATATACGTGATTCATTCATTAAATATTTGGGATATCTAATCAATTGCCGTCAGGTGGCTGAAAGACTTGCAAACGTATTAAAACTTTATTTTTTAAAAAAGGCTTTAGTTGGGCTTTAAATTAGTTTCACAGATGGCGGCCAAAAAACCGTCAGTTATTCTCCAGTCTTTAGAAAATTCACTGTTTCAAACCCAGAAAATCTGTCTTAGAAAATGCATGAAATCACATTCCTGATTCTTGATTTTTCAAAATATTCTCGGCGCTGGGGGGGGAGGAGTTACCCTGTAGTTCTGCAAGCGCCATCGCACAAATACTCTCCGACTGTAAATAACTTCCCGTGCCCCTGCCTTGTTAAATTCGTACCTCTTGGGTTGTTTTTCAAGCCAATCGACGATGTCTTTAATATTATTTGGCAGCAATACCATTATCTTTTGGCCTGGTTTAATTGATTCACTTGTGCCGTTCAATGCCTCGTCAAAATACGTTGTCCAATTGAACTGAAAGAAGAGTGGAGAGAAGGGTTAAGAATTTACATTTATACGCTAACAATAAGGTGCATACCATGAAATATGAACATGTGCGGGTAAAGCTATTGTATCGGAATGGTATGGTTATTGTATTGGTATTGTATATGATATGGATGGTATGATATGTGATAATATGGTATGGTATGGCATGGCATGGTATGGTATGGTATGGTATGGTATGGTTATTGAATGGTATGGTATGGTATGGTATGGTATGGTATGGTATGGTATGGTATGGTATGGTATGGTATGGTATGGTATGGTATGGTATGCTAGGTATGGTATGGTATGGTATGGTATGGTATGATGGGTATGGTATTGTATGGTATGATATGGCATGGTTAACCTCATTCTCAGGGCCTTTATGGTATGGTACGATATGGTGCGGTATAATATAGTATGTTATGGTATGGTATGTACCGTATGGTATGGTATGGTATGGTATGGTATGACACGGTATGGTACGGTATAATATAGTATGGTATGGTACAGTACGGTACGGTATGGTATATTGCATAGTCTGGTTTGCTCTGGTGTGGCATGGGTATTTCTGGTATTTCGGGTTTGCTTCGGTGTGGCAAGGGTTTTCTTGCATGGGTATGGTATGGTATCTAATGTTGTGGCGTGGTATGGGGGTTGTATATAACGAGTGTTACTTTGTATGGTAAAGAGGGTACCCTGGTTATTTATGGTATTGTATAGTAGCATGGTCTAATGAAGGGATGTTGTATATAAGTATGACATACCATGGATACAACACTGATGTGATAAAGCATAGGTGCGGCATAGCATAGTAGAAAGATATGGCACGACACAACAATATACAAACGGCGGCTAAACGGTGCATCGATACGTTAAAACCGATTAAGTTCATTAACAATAGTGAGCTAATTTTACCCACCTTGAACGATGTTAAATTATTCAACTCATCTATGGTCATTAAAGAAATATTATCTAATTTGAAGTTACTTCCATTGAGAGACTTTTGCATCTAAAAAAAGGTAATATCTATCTTAGACTATCCCTGCTACACTTTTTTTGAACAACGCATATGAAATCCTGTTCATTAATTCCCCTAGTAAATTCATGATAATTTTACTTATTTGCAGGATTTCCGCGACTTATTTGCATAAGACTGCTCTCATGGGAGGATAGCAATGACAAAAAGAGAGACACATCATTTTAAAAGAGCCTGCATAATATATATCCTATCAGTGGCCGATCTAGAGTAAGTCAGAATAAATTACTGCAGCTCTAACTTGCGGTCGTGTCGGTGGATTTTTGCATAAAAATATTCTTTAGAAATAAATAGCCAATACTAATTGTTGTCATAAAGGTATTTTGAATCGGAGATTAAGCCATGTAATTCATTCCGACTTACCCTGAATCCGCTACTGTATCCTATCAAAAAAAATACCTCCCTTCCACGTATAGTTATCATTTTGAAGAAAATTACCTTTAATTGTGGAAACCCTGCTTACTTCACCAAAAGCCAGTTTGAATTGGCAGTAATTATAGAATACCTGGCCAACCCAACTCTTAACAGCGAATGCCATGGCATATTGAACCATCTTTTTTTATGTTACAGTACTTGAATTGGACTTTCAAGGAACAAGAAAGTAAACATATTGGCCTGATATTCTATAATTTTACCTCCAATTGGAAACCAGTGCCCATTTTTTTGGCGCGATCGTCGACCAAAAAGAAAAAACAAAAGAAATGGCATGGTACCCAATTCGGCTTCGAATTGACTTCAAAGATGGCAACCGGGTAAGAGTAGACGAAAATGCTTCATTTTTGCATAAAAAATCCATACATTTAAAAATTTATCTTCCATATTGACAATACGCTTCACTTCATCATCAACCGTGGAATTTGCTCCAAGTAATTGGAATATGGTGGACATAAACTTTCTGTAGTCCTTATAAACGTCAGAACCCTGAAATACAGTAACTTTATCATTTTGCTTGCAAAGCACACCACAGAACAATAAAATGAAGTTATAAAAACACAAACTTTTTACATGGTATATGTTACATAAAAGATTCTCTCGGAAAATGGCGAATTCGAGTTCGTCGGAAAATGGCGAATTCGACCATGGTCGAGTTCGCCAGAAAATGGCGTATTCGACCATGGTCGAGTTCGCCAGAAAATGGCGTATTCGACCATGGTCGAGTTCGTCAGAAAATGGCGTATTCGACCATGGTCGAGTCCGCCGGAAATCATGATACCTACTTTTCGCATTAAAACTAGCCGGTAATATTATTGAAAATGCGTGGATTTGCAAGTTCGCATGTACTTCTAAATTTGAGTTTCCTCTTCGTGTAGTTGCTAAGGTAAAATGAATGTGCCCTTTTCTGAAACTCTCCCCCCGGCGCCCTAAACTGCTTCCGGCGCCCCTGCTCGGTTGATTAATCACCCATCATGTGAGCAATCGCGCAATATAATTATTAGTCGGCGGGCAAAACCGACTATAACAGTTTAAATGATTTTTTCGACGAACTACGTCATTTATATAAATATGTATATATATATATATATATATATATTTATATATATATATATATATATATATATATATATATATATATATATATATATATATATATATATATATATATACAATGTGAAATATTTTCAAATTCCCACATCAGCAAAAAATTTTGTGTTAACTATGTTTGTATTTACCTCAGCTTTTTTCTGTTTCAGTGTGAACTCTCTCGAGCGCGATTGCTCTTTGTCCAGTTGTCTTTCGTTGAATCCAATAATCCCTCCACTTATCTAACCGGTAATTACAACCAGACTTAAATTAGTGACACTAATTTCTTTACGTAAATATCAAGGTGTATCCATTTGGGTATACGAACGTCAGTAAAGGCTACTTTATACTGTACGTTTAGTTGCATAAAGTGAGCTCTTAACACAGCTGTTCATAAACTGAATCTATATACAGAAACAAATCCACAACATTATTACCGTAATGAAAACTTCAGATGTATTGAAATACGATTGTTGTATATCCAAACCAAGAAATACTGGTACTTGAGTATCAACGAGTACTCTGGCAAGGACTTTCTCCAGTTCCCAGGAATCTCCATTCCAGTTTCTGTTAGTTATGTTCCAGGAGCCATGTTTTTCTATGACGTCAAGAATTGGTTTGATCCCGGCGCTTTCGATGTTGCTGTCGTTCATGCAGGACTTGTAGTATACGAATGCCTTATAGAGAGCTGACTTTGGATCCTAAAGGTATTAAACACTTTACAGTCTTGATCGAGGCATTTAAAAGCTAATATACAATATAAAAGCCCACGACAATATGGAGCCGCCAAATTTAAAAATTGCCGCCCATATTGCCGCTTTTGACTAATTTTTGATAGAAGTAATAAAAAGAAAAAAAATCGCCACAGCTAGAAAGAGCGTACTTGAATTAGTGCAAAGGCAAAGTTTGGGTGCGAAATTTGGTAAAATACGGATTGTACACTTTTGTATTACGCAAGGAAATGTGTAACTAATTTAGTTGCAAACTCCCGGTCGTAATACTGATACAAAAGTATAAAAAAATCGACAACTTCGCATGGCTATATTCAGGGCCGTAGCTAGACCGCTTAATTGGGGGGGTGTAAATTCCCCCCCCAATTAAGCTTCTAGCTACGGCCCTGGCTATAATTTCCGTAATTTACAACAATTCGCAGCCAAACTTGGCAGTCTTACTAATTTTAGTAAGCTCTTTCAGAAAATTTCCTTTTTACCGTTTAGATAAGCAATTAGTCTTTAACGCTAGTCGAATATTTCTAGGAGATCGATAGGCAGACAGTTCGATGACGATGTAAAAATAACAGATCAAAATGTAAACAAAGAGAGTAAAAGGAAACACACAGAGCTGTTTTCCACGTTCCTTATTACTGTAAGATGAGATATATAACGCAAGGCGATCGTTATCGAAGTTCATGCTTTAATTCTTCTCTCACGCAGGATTTTCAATTATTCTTATTCAAAATCCTCCTCCTTTTCAATTGTGAGTTGATTTATTCTAGTACATGGTCACAATTCAAAAGAAACAGGTGAAATATTTCGAAAAGCGGAAATTATGGCAGCCATATTGTGGGACGCTACATCATTTGGGACATGTCGCAGCTCTCGGAAGCTTTCGTCCGATTGGATAATGTTTTTCTATGCTTTTAAAGAGCGAGGCTGTGCCATTGGTTGAAACAGAAATTTATTGCAAAGTTCAGCCAATGAAAACCATTCTTGCAAGGAGCTGCGACACTACCCGGGCATCATTTTAGCTTTTATTAATAAAGTTTTAGGTCAATACCACAGAGTAATTTGACATCAATTGTTCATCTTGCAATAGACCCCTCAAGGTATATTGAACAAAATCATTTCCTGCAGTAAATGAATCAATGTGATATTTGTCATCAGGTATAAAATTCTTTTTCAAAAATCCTCCACAACTGTACTGATAAAAATCATCACATGGCTTTGTGGATTGGTCAAGTTTATTAAGAATTTCTAAAAAAGCAAAATTCAGAGGTATTAGAAAAATCAAAATGTAGCTTCAAACTGACTCTTGCTGAAATTACAGGTTGTTAAATCTGGCGCAAAAAATATTTAATTTCCTAGATTGCATGAACAGCACCACCCATGGTAGTGCATTCTTGTGAGCAATATTTCACCGCAAAGCCAATATAATGGGTATTGTTATGTAAAATGTAGATGATACAACTAGTGTTTGCTTAAGCTAGATTTCAAACAGTCAGATTAAAAATGTGCTTCTTGCCTATGTAGTAAAATGTTGGGTCTTGCCTAACAACATAAGAGATATAGGTTTCCTGAACCACCATCAATTTCATTTTAATTATACAGCTCATACTATATAAAGTGTAAAATTGTGACCATAATTGATTTGCCCTATTGCGGTATTGCCTAATTAGCAAATATGTTTCATTCCCTTGATCAAATCCCCATTAATTCCAGTTACTGGTACATAAAACAGAAGTGCATGGCCCATTTAAAATGGGAGGAGATTTGTCTGATTTGGGCAAATGGAAGCTCTGGAGTTCACTAATGTGTATATACACTCTTGCATGCATATTGACAATTTGCAAGGAAACATTTCTGTATTGCATATGATTGCATACAAATTGTATATTAAATTACAAGGATATAAAGCTGTCTATAAAACAACATATCTTGTTATAAGTTTGTAGCCAAAATCATCTTACATATATTTCAAAACTGAAATCAGGGTTGTCAAACCCACTGGTGAATTCAATTGGAGTGCAAAGGTGTGCACAGTGTAGTCTGTACACACCTTGATCACTACAGTGCAAGATTGGACTAGTAGATCCAATTTAAGACCAAGACTTTAAGCCGGTTTTCCACTAGCGATATTTTTCGCGCGAAGCGACTTTATTCCTTTGTATTTGAGCAATTTGTTCCAGATGGTTGCAGTTGAGAGCTCTGAAACAAAAGTCAAAATGTCGATTCGCGCAAAAAATATCGCCAGTGGAAAACCGGGTTTACTTTACAATGTTGCATTCAAAAGATAAATATCTTGCGGACGCAAATTCTACGCCTACTGCAACATCACAACAAAGCCGCCCAACACGTGATATGCGGAGCGGGATTGCATACAATACACAATGACAAATATCCAGCTGACAGCTGCTTCCTAATAGCACAAAATTAAATATTTATATATATTGTGAACAGTTATAATTCTAACAAATTTGTTCCACGAGTATTAAAATATTCCGGTTTTGGGCATTGGATTTTCAAAATTTTTTAGATGGACCTACTTTATAAACAAAAACTTTGAAGACGCAGTAAATTTATAACATAATACGTACCTGCAGCACTCACGATACAAGCTGGCGTGCTACAAGTCTTCGTCGGGGGAGTTGGGCTCGCAGTAGTAAAATTTGTTGGCGAAATGGTTGTACTATTTATAGTTGGCCGGTTAGTTGTGGCACTTGTGGTGTTGCTCGGTGTTGCTGTACCGTTCGGCTGCTTGTGTTTCGATGAGCTTCCCTCGCTGTCTGATTTATTCTTTTCGACGGCGTACAAAGATATGAATACAATCGATAAAACCAGTAGCACCAGAAACGATACAGCCAAAGCCAAGCGCGCCTTCGAAGGTTTTCTTGTTTCGGGCTCCTCAAGCAAACCGAAGGGAATTGACGGCATATTTATTCTCGTTTTGGAAGCAGCAAGACTGAAGATCGATGAGATAAGATTATGATCACTGGCTGACACCGAACTTGACAATTCGTTACTTTCACAATCAACAGTGGGCTGTATGAGGCAGTACTGCGCAGGCCGCAGGAGAGGTACTTATAGCGGGCAGGCTGCACAATATTGGTACGCTTCTGCGCATGTGCATACTGCAAAGCCTGTTATATTTTTAAAAAGACCGCATGGCAATTCAATAAAGTTGGCCAATATCCACCGCGATATCATTTGTCTTCGTGTTCGAATCAAAGACATGGCTAGATTAGAATGTTAAGCGAGCGCTATCAATGTTAATCATTATATATTAACAATGCGTTGATGAGCAAATTCCGCTAGACCTCAGCCTCAGTTACGAAGTCACACGTAAACAAATGCAAAACTGATTTTCCATTAAAACTAGTATATAACATGTTAAACTAGCGGAAGTTGTCGAATGCCGTCCTTAGCATTATTAATATAGCTATAGGATTTTGTTACATAGGTCCTGTGTATTTTAAATGTGATTGGTTCATTCGTAGTCACATGACTTTAAATAAACGCCCCGCCAGGGAAATTGTTGCTCGCTTCTTGTCATAACAAAGTAACGTGGTTTTTTTGGAAATGAAATTGTTGTGTAACATGTATGTTTTTGTTCCTATATAACGCATTTAATGTACACTACCTCAGGAAATAGTGAGTTTTGTTTTCCCTCAAGGCTCAACAGGCAGACTCTTGGGAAAACAAAACTCACTACTTCTCTCGGGAGCATACATTTTGTATAATGAACATGGATAACACACGCTTATTTTTGAGCTTTCAATCTTAATCGAATGCAACATCAATACCCAATTCTTAGATTTTTTGTTTAACTTTTTTTAAATTGTAAAAACTGAATTAGAAATTATTGATTTTGTCCCTTGAGGAAACATTTCTGTATTGCATATATATGATTGCATACAAATTGTATATTAAATTACAAGGATATAAAGCTGTCTATAAAACAACATATCTTGTTATAAGTTTGTTGCCAAAAACATCTTACATATAATTCAAAACTTAAATCAGGGTTGTCAAACCCACTGGTGAATTCAATTGGAGTGCAAAGGTGTGCACAGTGTAGTCTGTACACACCTTGATCACTGCAGTGCAAGATTGGACTGGTAGTTCCAATTTAAGACCAAGACTTTAAGCCGGTTTTCCACTAGCGATATTTTTCGCGCGAAGCGACTTTATTCCTTTGTATTTGAGCTTTATTTTTGAGCTTTCAATGGTTATCTTAATTGAATGCAACATCAATACCCAATTCTTAGATTTTTTGTTTAACTTTTTTGAAATTGTAAAAACTGAATTAGAAATTATTGATTTCTAATCAGCAAGGCTAACAAGCGTTAAAAATCATGACTCTCAAGTCATTTTTAGTATGGTCTTCGATCAATGCCCATAAACATAATCTGCTACAAGCTGAACTGAGAATTTCGGCGCCCTAAAGTTATTTACAGCATCAAAAGTAGTATTTTAAATCTGCGCGCATTTCAAACCAGGAACTTTTGTCTCTCCCCATGTACTCCAAAAATTTGCATAGCGAAACTAAATCGCCAGGGTAGCTACACCAATGAACTCAAAGAAGTCTGTACGCTCACTCTGTCGGAAGTTTGAAGCCAAGATGCATGGCGTACCCTGAAGACTTTGTATATAGGTATGATCCAGGCCTCCAGTGCGGAAATTTTTCTAGGTAAAATAGCGACAATTAACAGCTGGGCATTTTGTACGGAGCATGCGCGAACTTGGCATCCACGCACATCGTATATTTAAAAAATGGCGGCTGATAGGAGTGAAGATAGTTGCATACTTTTGCAGTAAAAGAAAGAATTCGGTTTTTAACGAAAAGAAGAATATCATGTACGTGTAACTGCTGGTTTTGTTGTATCTTGTGGTACAAAACATGGCATTGAGAAAGCATCCGAATGATCTAAATTAGCAAACAATATGTTGGTTTGTCACACTCACAACTTTGTTCGTCACTTTCGTGTGGAAATTAAGAATTTCAGTCACAATGTGGTTGTCGTTGGTTAGTTAGCAGTTAAGGAAGCATTTATTGCAGGAAGCTTTCAGTCATTTGTCAGCTTTCAGCTGGACATTAACTTAAAAAAGCCACCAGAGTCTTCACAGTGGAACTATGGCATGAGACTGATGAGAGTATTGAAACCAAAATAGTTATGTTCATTTTATCAGATGTTGATCTTTCCATATTAATCAATTTATAAAATATATACAACTGTGCTATGCAAACAATCTCGACTCCTCTACATCATTTATTTAATAATTTTTATAAAATAAAGTGAAATATGGACAGCTATAGCAACAGTCTCAGGCCAAATTGAGCTCAAACATATATATTTCAACCTCCATTAGGAAAATGAAAGGTTCTAAAGATCCCCATTATTGTATTTTGATGCAAGCAATGTTATACTAAATTTTTGCTCAAATAATTTTATTATACTCTAGTTAAATGATCAGAAATAGGAAGTAACATATCCCACAGGCTAATTTATATGTTTGTTTACAGACAAAAATAAGTATTGTGCGCATTTTTCTCAGCATGCCCACTAACTTTTTTATGAAGTTTGAACAATATGGATAGTTTTAAGCCATGTTTCGGAGAGGGGCACTGGTAAAAATTTTGAAATATTTTTATATATGTGTCACAGCATCACATAATTTCACAAAGCAAGTATGCCCATATTAAAGTTTGTGGTTAGATTCTTAAAACTTACCAAATCAATAGGACTTTTCATAATTCATAACAACCAATACTTGGACATATTAAAATCACTTTTGCAGCAATTTTTACATCATAACAACTCATACAGAAGGAAGTTCGTAAGTATGTTACAACATGGCATTTTCAGAGCATAAGTGGTTTGTGAAATTACAACATCTAGAGCATTTTTTCCATGAGTGGCTAATGTTTCAATAAAACAAAACATGATTTAACTTTCATAAAATATACTTTATAACTGAAGGCAAAGGTCAGTTTTCACGAAATCGAAAGAGGAAAAGGTGTTATTTCTATAGAAAAATGCATGTTAAGGTATACTTATTATTTCGCGTGAGAAGGGACAAATAGATTAATGAACACGCCAGTGGAAACAACAATATGTCAGCTTCTGTCAAGAGTAAAATAGGGTTAATTCGTTGTTTGCATACTGCTGTAACCTGGTCCTGAAACTTTGACAATGAGTGAAATACTTCAACTTGTCGCCCATTTGCAAATAAAAATCTTTCGCAAATATTTACGTGAGAATGTCGTTATACCCTTGTATGCAAGCACGGGAACGTAATCTTTGAATACACCCTTTTATTTCCGTGAACAAACCAGTAAAAATGGAGAAAAAGCTCCTCAAAATACATGTTTTTGGCGTTCGAAGAATTAAAATTTTTCTTGAAGAAATGCGCCCGCAATTTTTAGACAGCGACAACAAAATGCCCAGCGGTTGCGACAATTATGATTTTCCTTTGAAATGTCCGCGGAAGAGGCCTGGATCATAACCACAAGAAAGGCTTCAATGACTGCCATCTTGGCTTCACCCATGAATGAGGGAAAGTCAATGAGTGAGCGTTCCAGTCTTATACAGTCCACTGAGCTACACCTGTAAGGATAAACTGTTTCAAGTAAGAAATGCTTACATATATTCAGGGTGTGTAAAGAAGCAACAAGTGTTCTGATGCATGCACAGATGCGCAAAATATTTTAGGTCTCTGGTACTGAAAAAATATCCTTTGTTTGCTCAACTTTGTTATGCGCATCTATATTTAGATGATTGCGCTGGTAGAATGCAATACCAGCCTTAAAATCCAGGGACCGAAGGTCTTTTCTGCTGTGAAACAAAGTGGATATTCACGAAAATGGTTGCCTTATATATACACGAAAAAAAATATAGCCATTTTATTAGTTTTTTTAACATATACTTATTTTTCAAATATACAGAAAATATGCATGCACGGGTACCTATAATGTATAAATATTTCATAATCAAATTGGATTATAATATAGCATTTATAGTGCGCGCGTGCTGATTGGTCGAGAAACGCGTGCCTATAACTGTATACTGGAGACACGGGACTTTCCTGACGAACTTGACAAGCGAAGTAATGTAATGAGAATGTGTAGTTAAATCAAATTATAATATTTGTATATACAAAATCTTTTTATCGAGTTATATTATAAAAGAAATAAAAAACATTTTTTCCTGTGTTTCTATAAAGCTATAGAAACACTTGTCGGAGTTTGGGAGAACTCGAAATAACGTGGAAAAACTTGCCCGTCCCTCTCCCAAACTCCCACGCGTGTTTCTATAACTGTATAGAAACTATAGGAAGTTGTACATACGCACGTCTATTGAAAATATTAAATACATGCATACGCAATCTATTGAAAATGCGCATTTATGAGGAATTTCATTTGTTTCGTTATGCAATATGCGTAAAATTTACTAAATGTTTGCAGCCATGTTTTTTAATAAGGCTTGTTGCGCTCGCTGCATGTTTGTAGCTACCCTATAATTTATAATTATTTCCTGTCAAGTGAGAAGATAGGTAATTATCTCTAAATGTGTATCAGTTAGGAGTTCTTTAGTGTCTCGATTCGTTTCAACAGCCAAGGTGGAAGAGATTCATCTTCTGGTAAAATCAAGGCCATTTCTTTCGCTTCTCGATTACATATCTCGGATTTGGCAACAGATTCAGCCGACGCCATCGTCGAATACTTTTTAATAAGTTTTAGTAATATGTATACCACATCCCAATCATTATAACCGCCCGCTTTCGCGACATCCCTTGCTTCCTCTAAAAATTTTAGTGCATCATCGTGCTCTCCTTGAGATTCGCAGACCGAGGTGATGTGGTAAAGAGTAGCCACAAATTCCGCACATGAATCTCTGGTTATGGGCATTTTTCGACGTATTTTCACAACTTCGAGAAAGTAATCTTTTGCTTTGCTGAGATCGCCCATCTGCTGCGCAGTAAAGCCAATATTCTGATAGACTGCCTCGCTGCAATCGCTAGTGCTATCCTCTCCAAAAACTACAAGGTTCATGGTAAGAGCATCCTGCAAGCACTG